AAACGAATATAATGCAATTTATTATCAATTATGTGCACTACACGGGTTGTGTACTAATTTTAAATAGACATTTTTATGTAATTTTATACAATTTAAAATTTATATAATATTTTCAATAAATTAATATAGGTAATTGTATTACATCATCATTCCATATTTTTAATTTATAAATATTAAATTATTAATTTATAAATATATATGCTTGTAAGTTGTAACACTTGAATTTGACCACCCCTAGTACTTTTTTTTACTGGAAATATAACTTTGGTCACAAAACTTGAATAGCTGAACAAATTCAGTGTTATTATTTGGTGGTGTTTTTACAAAATTTGGAATACGAAGAGTTTATTACTTAGAAATCAATACTTTTGCATGAATATCATGAATTTGAAACGCCTAGATTTTGTTAACTTGTTTAAATTTTGGGTTCCTTTTGACCAATATTATTAAGTAAAAAATATGTAGGTGTGTTAACATTAAAAAAAAGGTTCTTTTTTGACAATAATTGCCAATTTAATTACGGTGGTGGTAATTCATTAATTTGATTCAAGCAATATGTGTGATATGTTGTAGGATTGTCATGAAGAATATATATATAGACTGTTATATATATATATAGACTGTCGTTGTTCGTCAACCATGAGTTAGATCCCCCATAGTTAGATCCATTATTAGATTTAAGTCGAGTTACAGTGGATTCACTATTCTGAGTCAAGTCAAATAGATCCATTATTTGAATCAAGGTGAACGTAATATTGTAAACAGATTACTTGAGACGAGTGTGGGCATTTATTATTTTCTCTTTATAAACAAGTCAAGTCTACTATAGATTTGCCTAACCTTTTTTTTTTTTTTACCAATTTTATGTTCTTTAAATTTCCATATTACAAAGAGTTGTTGTATTTAGTGGGGTTTTGAGTGCGAAACTCGCTCTGTAAGTGTTATATTTGTGGGCCTTCTAAAAGCTACATTATTGAATCGGAATGATCAATAAACCAATAATATAAAATAAAGAAATTATAAACAAAATTTAATTACATGAAACAGTCCAACTAATAAAATCATAGAGGAAAACCTTTGTTATGGTGTAGAAAAATCGTCTTTTCACCTACCTATCAAGGCTCATATTCACATATATTATCGAAATGGAGAAAGGAGAGTTGAAAAATAAATAGAAAGGGCCTCTATAGATTGAATCGAAGTAATAAGCAGGCCGGCCCATTTATAACTCTATTTGGGCCTTATTAATCTTCACTTCACAAGTGTATTTTTTCTGGCCCTTTATTAAAGAGCTTGCTGGGCCTATGGATTAGTTGTTCACTTTTATTTTTATAGCATTTTCTTTTCAATGTTTAGTTCCGCTATGCCTCCTGCCTATATTTACATAAGTTAACACATTCACCAGCTGATATAACGGGAGATTAGCATACCAAACAGTGGATATAATATTTAAATATCACGAGATATGGACGCATAGCTGGTAGGCACATTTTAATGTGCCTACAAAAGATAGGTAAATATTGGAGAAATCGTCATATATATTTTTTGGTAGAAGATGGGAACTGGTGGACATTGCTAGATTCATTTAGAGTTGTTAAATAAAAAAAAGTCACTCATAAGCTTACCTCATTAACGCTCGAGTTTAACTTATTAGTTTTGATAAATGAGTTGAGCTCCAAGCTTAAGTATCAAGGATTCGAACTCGACTTGACTCATATACAACGTAGATCCATAGGAGCGAACACGTTATTCCTTCTACTTGTGGTACGTATGTGGCACTTATCCAATCAAAAGAGCAAACTATTAGGCAAGTTGGTCAATTCCTAATTATATTATGTGACAAATAGCTATTTTCACTTCACTATGATAATATATTAAGTTTTTCACACCGCCCGCTGACAAACTAACTTTTCCCCAAGAAAAGTACGAAGGCATGGTGTGATGCATATGCGACAGTTACGTGATGGATATGCAACAATCGCAGTACATTCGCATAACCATTCGCACTTTTCTGGGGATGAAAAAGTTAAAGTATAAAGACATTATTGTGTGGTAAAAATGCGACGATTGCGTATGGATATGCGATAGTTATGCGGTTCATTCGCGTAACTCTTCACACTTTCTAGAATGAAAAGAAAAATGTTAAAGGACAATGTTAGAATTTTATATATTTTTATAGTAGGTGAAAAATATGCACGCCCTTATGTTATATTCCACGCAAGACATTATAACAATAATTTTAACTCAATTTCATATCCCAACTAAATCATGAATAAATTTGAGATACAAATTTGAGCATCTCCAATGTGGCTTTTGACATTATAAAAATTCATCCATATCATCAACTTTTGAAAGTGTGTTACTAATTTATACTCCAATGCATTTTGTCATGAACTCTTTTATGATGATATGGATAGCATTTAATGTTGACAATGTTGAACATACTTTCTAATATCTAACATCATGTTAAACATGATGACTAATCAATTCACTTTATATTTAATTTAATTTTTTATTTTTCTTGTATTAATGATTATTTTAATTGGTCCACCTATATAAGTAACTTCTTATCAAATTGATGCATTGGAGATACTAGTTTGATTCAAATTTCTACTCTTTTAACATTATTCCTACATGGATTAACATTACAATCATTGATTGACATGTGTTAAAAATCATTGTCTTTCAAGTTATAACATTGGAGATGCTCTAAGGTAGGGCATTCTTTTGGACTTGCGTCACCTCATACATTCCTTTTAAATCTTTATATTTTCATATTTTGGTGACATTTAACATAAAATGTCCATATAAATATCAAAATTTCTATTAGGGTCATACATGAAGTTGTGTATGACACATGTAATTCGTATATTTATTTTACAAAATATGTCAATATGCTATTTGTGAAAATATGTTGAAGACTCCATAGCAAAACTAAAAAGTACACATTCAAAAGAATTCAAATGTCTATATATACTCTTCTTACATGGATGTATTATAATTCTTTTTACTTAATCAGTTAAGACAATTTAAAAAATTAATATAACAACTATAAAATAATGTGAGATCAAGCTATGGCAAGACATTTTTATGTATCATAAGCCACGCAGACGGTTTTGATTATTCCCTTCTCTCAATATATCCACACAGACAAAAAAGTACGAAGATGAAGAATATATATTTCTATAAAATTTTAATTAATTATGATGGAGTAGTGAAAAACAACAAAATATGAAATCAACTACAGTAGTTTTGAAAATGTCTTAGACATTCATGCTTCAAAGTTTTGACTAAATATTGACAAAATGAACAATTGAAAATTGACTAATAATTTTCTTAGATTGGATATCTGCATCGTATATTATATGATGGACTAATCCAACTCTGTGCTACAGACAAGGCTTACAAAAAGCATTTAATGGAATCTTAGATTCAATAAGACAATTCAAACATTATATAACAAAAGATGTATCATTCTCATAATGAACTCATCAATAGTTGGAGTGCTGGTATATAAATATTATATAGAAACAATATTTTTTTCAACTCTATAAATTTATTGTTAGTTAGCCATAAGAGTTATGTAGTGATAGTTTTTCAATTTAAAATGTCACAATCAAAAAAGTAAATAAAAAGGTATAATAATCTATAGAATAATAAGTATACTTATTTACAGAATATATATAATAGGTATTTCTGTTTTTTGAACACTTCTTGATCTCTCCCACACACGCATATGCGTGTATATTTGGTATTCTTTAATTAACGGTCATTTATTTTTATTTTTTCAAAAAACTATATAATAGTGTTGTCAAGATGCATGTAATACAAATTGATCAATATAATAATTCTTGATTTGAGAAAATAATATTAACGATCTAAGATAGAGATTGTCGTTGGCAGGCATCATAGTTATTGGATGATATATAATTAATATGATAAATTAGAATTAAGAGACACAAGTATAGAAGATGTGTTTAAATCAATGCTCAAAACATGTTAATTAGCCTTATACCATATTTTCTTCAGGTTGATTTAACATACACTCCCTCTCAAATCAACAAATGGTGCCGTGTTAGACAAATCTATTCTAACTTAGAAGACATAATTTCAACATTGATACAAACAAACTACTTAACCCACATTGCAATTGCATACTACAAATGGGCTTGCCTAACTAATTTTAATCATTGGGTCATCTAACAACAAAAAATTGTGTTAAATTAATTGTTAATTGCTCCTCCCTTTTAAAAGTCACCGAATGCCAAAATGTGAATGCTGTGTATTCTACTGAGATTTTTAAAGATTTTTAAAATTTTTTTAAGACTTTAGAAATTCTGATGTATTTAATGTAGATTTTTCAGGACTTTCAAAAGTATTGAAGTATTCATTTGAAGTTAAGTCTTACAAAACTCTGAGTTATTTAACTTATTGGATAGTAGGATTTGTTAAGATTTTTAAGGTTTGCTGGGATTTCAAAAGAAAAACTTTATACGAATTTTCACTCCAAATCTCACCTCCACACTTAAGATTTCACAGTATTGCTCCAAAATCCGAAAATCTTAAAAAAAATCTCAAAATGTCATTTGAAATTCTAAACGAGTATAAACCCTACGGGGTGTATTCATATGAGATTTCTAAAGACGTTTTAAACTTTAAAAATTCTGGTGTATTTAATTATTCTTCTTAAAACTTTTTAAGACTTTTAAAAGTCTTAGAGTATCCATTTCAGATTTTAAAAAGTCTTACAAAATCCTAAGGTACTTAACTTATTTGAGACTAGAATTTGTTAAGACTTTTTATGATTTGTTGGGATTTCAACAAAAAAAATCTTATACGAAATCTCACTCTAAATCTCACCTCCAGACTTAAGATTTCATGAAATTCCTCTAGGAGAGGAATTACAGCTTGACGGCCCCAATTCTAGCCGAGGAGAGGGCGGCGCGACGAGCGTCGCTGCTACACCTTTCCCACGCTCGGGCTGAAACTGGGCGGAAAGAATGCCTTCGACCTCAGCGATGGCCGGAAAAGGGATACTGCAGAAGGTCGACAAGAAAAGTGGGGTGACGAGATTTTTTGTATGGGGTCTGCTACAGTGAAAAAATTGCCTTGGGGAAGATATAGAGGACCTGAAAAGTGACCTAATTATGGATTGCTTCCAAAAATGGTTTTCAATTTAGTATTTACTATGCCAATATTGTTGTTTTGAGCAAGAATACCATCATTTCATGTGTCAAAAATCTTTTTTTAACATGATAGATTTGATGATAATAAAATCTTTAATATGTTTTTTTCAAAGGAGCATCAATAGTGTCTCACATCCCCTCGACTCGAATCCATGACCTATTAGTTACAAGTGAATGGTCTTACCACTCAAGCTGCACTTCTTTGTCTAACATGCAATTGATCAAACACATCTTAACATGTCCAGGTCAAACATTTCCAAGAATGATATTCTAATCAATTGAAAAAAAAATTAAATACACGATTATGTGCTGATTATCACATTTGACAGCAGGCAGTAATTGGATTTGAGATACTAATTGAAACAAAATATCACAAATTGTGATTTTTAGAGCGCCGTTCAAAGGAACAATAAAGGCTAATTCAACCGCCAGGGGTAGGTGTGACCTTTTATCGACAAAGGAAAAAGGTGTGAGAATTTAATAATTGATCACGTGACCACAAGAATAAGGACAAATTTGTGTAATCTGCACAAATTATATAGTACATTGTAATCTTATCCTCTATTTTGTTTTTCTTTCTTTCTTTTTTTTTTTTTTCCCTTTTTTTTATGATTGTTTAATTTTTCTTTTCCAGAATTTCTCCTTGACTAATCTTTACCGGACGTGTATTCACATTGACTTATCATTAGTGATGGACTAATTATCTACTCCTACTAAAGTCCTAATTAAGTCCCAAGGGCGGTGTAAATAATTAGTGACATTTATTTTTCAATAAATATATACTTTTATATTTGATTTTTTCAATAGACATGTGATATTGAATTGAAATATTATACTATCAAAAATAATATATATAATTTGTTCTATAGATCCAATTCTATAGTGGAGTCAATTTTTGTATATAAGCAAAAACATACTATAAAACCAATTCTAAGTGGAGCCAATCTTTTCGTGATGAATTAATATGTTGTTTCTCTAAAAAGTTCATTCTATAGAAGTGACGGATAGGTGTGGGCAAAAAGAGCTTAAACTAGGGGGCAAAAAAACCGAATTTTTCCGTATCGAACCGGACCGAAATGGTTCCGTTCCGAAAAATGAGGTTTTGAAAAAGTTTTCTTTATTTTTATTCCGTTCCCGGTAACGAACCGTTTCAAATAATGTCATATTTTCATCTCGAACCGTCCCGTTTGTCCAGTTTCATTTTTTCGTACAAAATATTACATATATATATAGTATAGATTATTGTTATATTTTATATTAGTATTATAGTACTATCACATAATTAACACTAGGTCATTTTGACATTTAAGCTTCAATAGCATTCTAACTTTGTAATATATATATATATATATATATATATATATATATATATATATATATTGTCCAAGCTAAAACTAAACAATTTGGACAAAAAAGAAAAAAAAATACAATGCATTTGGTAATTTGTTTCAAAGACAATGTTTTTATGTTTAGATCTTAAATGTTGGTGATCAGTGACTTAAACCTAATGGATCAGTATGTTTGTTATAATGGAATCAATACTCTTTAGTAATTTGGTTTAAGTGAATACTTGAATCGGTGTGTTTGTTTTAATCAAAATTATGGAATCAATATGTTGGTTGTTGTTTTAAATTTCAATGAAATCAATACTCTTTGGTTTAGTTTATATGTTTGTCCCCTTTTCTCCCGGTCCCGAATGAAACCGATCCATTTGGGACAGTGTCTCGTCCCGGACCGTTCCCGGACCGGTTCATGAAAGGGGGACAAGTGAAATCCCGGACCGTGCCCACCCCTAGATTAAACCGAAAAACCAAATCGAATCGTGTAATTTGATGCAATTCAGTTCGGATTTTTTCAATGTAAAAATTTTTCGTTTCAGTTTCCGTTTGGTTTTTTCCTATACTGCGGTTCGCTGCGGTTATAGTTTTTTCATAAGTTCGGTTTTAGTTTTTTTTAAGTTAGGTGCGCTTTAACGCGGAACCACACCAATTTGAAAATGTATAGAAAATTCATGATAATACTGAAAATTGAGCTAAACCGTGCATTTCGGTGTCGTTTGATTCGGTTATTTTAATGTGAAAAAATTTCTGTTCGATTTTGGTTTAGTTTTTCTAAGTTGCAGTGCGGTTCAGTTACTTTTTATAGGTTCAATTTGCGGTTCGATGCAGTTTTTCACCGAACCGCACCCACCCTCGATTAAGAATGGAGATTTTTTAAAAAGTTTCAAAACTACTCACAAACAAGCACCATCATTTGTTTGGTAAGCATCATAAACTAGTTTCAAAGCTTTCTGTATTGAAATAAGATTAGTTTGATAGGACGATTTTTTTTTTTAAATTTGAAACTTATCTCATANTGGGCTAATTCAAATGAATGAACTCTTAACAGTGGACAGTTTGGAAAACAAAAAGTGCCGAGTTCTTGCCGTTTTGGCTCTGTTTTGCTGGTTTCTGTAACGGCGTCTGCTGGTTCTCTTATGCCTTCCTCAAGAAATTCGACCCGTACCTTGCTGTAAGTTCATTCTTGTTGCTTATTAGTTTCCTTGCATTAATCTACTTATTCTGTTTTTGACAAATATTTTTATCTTTGGTTGGTGTAGATTACAAATGGGCTTGGGGGGCTGTTTGGCTTATTCCAGATTATTGTCTATGCTTACTACACCTTAAGAGCGAAGAGTAACAAGGGGTCATCAGTAGGAGATGGTGCTAAGACAAGTGATGAGCAGCTCAAGAAGAACTACATGGCATCACCAGCTTGATCTTTTTCCCTTTCCTTAGAGGAAGTCATTTTGCTAAGGAATTTGCTATTTCCAAGAGATCAACATATAATTATAATTAATTATAAATTTGAAAAATAATATTAATAATTATAAATTATATATGCTTATAACAATACTATTATAAGAAATAATAATTACAATTTGTAATGATAATTATAATTAAATATAATAATGATTATAAATTAATGTTATTTATAATAATTGAACTAAAAAATTATAATTATATGAAAAGAAAACAATTATAATTATAATAATAATTAATAAAATTTATATATGAAAAGAAAAATGAATTATAATCTATTTTAATAGTTATTAGAATATTTTAATAGTTATTAGAATAATCATTACATTGAAAAAATCTAATAATTATATTTCTGATTCAGGGTGTTGGCAGACCTGGACAATCTAATGCCAGGGACGACGACGAGGCGTACGATGATTATTATGATGGTTCTGGCACCCGACACACTAGAAGTCGGGCTGTCAATGCGTCCGTTCGTCGGGAGAGGGACGCGGAAAGGCAGGCGTTGATCGATGAGGCTCGTAGGGTACAGCTTCGTCAGGCGAGCNTTCTGGCACCCGACACACTAGAAGTCGGGGTGTCAATGCGTCCGTTCGTCGGGAGAGGGACGCGGAAAGGCAGGCGTTGATCGATGAGTTCCCGCCCCCCCGCACCAGTGCCCACTGGTCCATATCATTTTGAGGGCCAGCCAGGTAGTTCGCGACCCCACGGAGCCATCCCGTACGGCGAACATGGATTTTATTATCCTGGCCAGGCGGGCAGGACGATGCCCCCGGCACCAGTACCGTACGATCAGCCGGGATGTGATTTTCCCCGCTTCGCAGGGAAGTCGTTACCCCCCCGCGCACGCGTACCATTACCTTATGGTCAGCAGGGGTATGCTGATGATGAGTCGTACGGCGAGAGGGAGCCGGGTCCAGAGGACTATGACTCGGACGACTCTTTAGATGATCAGGACCACGCACAGCCTACGGCTCCACTTGTCCAACAAATGGTGATTTTGTCATTTTACCTTTAAGACATGATTCACATGTAGGCAACCTATCCTCTCCCATAAGGTCGNCACCCTCGTCCTACTGTACAGCCAGTTCGTCCGGTACAGCCGGTTGTACAGCATGTTCGTCCGGTACATGTTGTTCGTCCCACACAGCGTGCTCCTCAACGGCAGGCTGGGGGGCGTTTTGGCCCTTCTGCATCCTCATCAGGTAAATAATTTACTTATTTATTGTTGTTTAACATAAATTATCGGTACTGTTAGAAAAGTATTATCGGCCTGCTCGTCAACTACAGTATAATTATATTGTAATTTAGGGTAAGTTGAATAAATTGTAATTAATTATAAATTCAAAAAATAATATTAATAATTATAAATTATATATGCTTATAATAACAACGTAAAACGTAAAATGTAAAATGTAACGTAACTAATAAAATATGTTTTATTAAATATATTTTATATAATGCATCTGCCAGCAAGTCAATATATACAGATATGTTGTATTTTAATGCAGGTACTAGCAAACGAGCTAGGACCGATGATGATGCACCTTGGATCGTTAGAGGCCCAGTGCCCGGTGGGCCCATTGATGGGAGTGTCATCCCTAGCTTTCTTGGGCACGTCGCCTCCCGCATGTGGAGTGGGAATTTGAGGGGGCTACTGAAATGCCACAACAGAGTGCGAGCGATCGATAATCTGAAGGCTTGGCATGAAGAGATGTCTTCCGATGCGGGAGCTCTTCTCGACCAGACCGGGCTGTCACATTTGGTCGACTCCATGCACACCCAGTTGGACACC